GCTAGGGGTGCTGATAGGTGCAGACACCGCTACCACTCCCGGGGAGGCTCCATCTATTGGTGGGGAGCAGCACCTGCTGGAAAGCGGGTCCAGCGTTCGACATCTCCTACGATCGTAACATCATCCCGTAGCAGCATGCCTTCAAGGTACGTACGAGCTGTACCCTTCTCGAACGCCGCGCGCTAAGCCAACTCGAAACTCCCGCGCTATCCCCAAGAAACGCACGCCACCCCGTAGTGATCAGACAGCCCCCACTCGCGCTCCCTCGACATCCCCCTCCTCTTACTACGGCCCCACATACTCACTCGCGCTCCATCACTTTGAAATCTCGCACGTATGTTAGCAGCGCATCCCCAAGATAAAGACTGGATGCAACCATCTCGGACGCCATGCACGGACGGAGCGGTACTCACGCCATCTCGGAGCTCCCTCGCAGCTCAGCAACGTCACCAGATACTCACGCAGATACGGCGTGCTTCATCACTTTGACATCTCGCACGTATCACTCGCGGCAGATGCCATACGCTTACCAGCTCCACGTGCGCTTGCTAGCTTCCCGAAACAGCGCCGTGTGAACCCGCCCGATCGGGCCGGGCGCAGCGCTCCCGGCAGCGCTGCGCTCGTACCCGCCAAAATGTGGGTGCCTTCTGTGTATCCTGGCTCAAAGTACCCTTGTGTCTGTAGGAACCCGTCTCAGTCTACTAGAGGGAGACTCAGTGGTAAGAGCATCATCTTCCCCTAGTACACCTGCCGCCGGTTGCTCCAATCCTTTGGTCGGGAGCAGCATCTGCTGCAAAACAGGTCCACGGTCCCAGATGCATCCAAGGTCTGATCTTGTTGTATTGACAACATTGCATTGATGATTGCACATACACAGGCCTCTTTTTTTTCCTTTTTTTTTCTTTTTTTTTTTAAATCTAAATTCCTTGTAAATGGGACGCTGGACCCGGTTTACAGCAGGTGCTGCTCCCCACCAATAGACGGAGCCTCTGTTAAAAAAAGAAAAAAAAAGAGAAAAAAAAGGCCTCTTTGATCTCTTCTCCATCGAGTTTTGAAAGCTGTCGTTTCTTTCCCCTCAAGAACTTATCAGAGCATGTCGTGAGTGACTTGACTGTCGTTTCTTCCAGCAGAGAGCAGGTCTGCACGTACGAAATCGCTACAAACTTCTGCTGTTTTTTCTTATGTATGTGCATTGCCAACCTCAACTCGAGAGTTGCCTATTCGTGGGTCAAGAGGGGGCTCCTCACTTTCGCCGAGAATCGTCCAGCGCTCGCGACATCGCCTTCTCTTGCTTTTCCCATCTCGGAGGGCCTGAAACTGGGGGTCCCGGTTAACCAGGCTTGTGCCATCTCGGCATTCTTCAGGCCGTGTAATGATCATCGCTTTCTTCAAGTTGGCTCATTCGGTTGTCCAAGAGTACTCCATGTGGAGGAGTTTTTGCCGCTTGGGGACCTGGACCGTGGTTCAGATGCTCGAGGAAGAAGGCTTTCAACGGCAGCCTTACTCATTACGTGAATTTTCGTTTCGAGGCGTTGGAGTCTTCTCCTCCTCACTTTGTGGCAGGAAGTGCTTCCACTTCCGTGAAGCACCCGTCAGACAGGATGAAGAGATCAGTCAAGCAGCTGCCTTTACCCACCTCCAGGAAGCGTAGAGCAACGAAGACTGACGTGGAATGGAATAACTTTCCTCTCCGGACACTCCCTCCCCTCCGCAGCAAATCCCACTTCCCCCACTCTTTCTCGTCACTAAACGTGCATCGGATCTGCATCCTCCTCCTCTCACCCGCAACCGCCAACCCCGCAACCCCCCCAAACCCCCAGGCAAAGGAAAAAGCCAAGAATCCGTCGAATCTAGATATGCTAATTTTTGTTATCCTCTTTATTTTTCTTCTCCTTCACCACTTCATCATCTTCCTCCTTCTGTCAGCCCCCCGCCTCTACTCGTTACCGTAGGATTTTCCTCGCTTTGCATCTAGATCTCAGTTTTCTGGTAGATCTGGTTCGCTGTTGGTTGTTTTCACAATTTTTGACTCAATCCTAACATCTGAATCTGGTTGTTATCATTTGGTTTTCACATTCTCGCCGCTTTACACCTACTCTTCACACTCTCTCTCGAACTCAATTTGAATGCTTTTCCTATGGATGGTAATTTTGTTGCTCGTTGCATGCTCGCAACTACAAAAAAAAAGAAAAGAAAAAAAGTAGGGAAAATAATAAAAGTCAGTAAAGGCAATGCATAATCTTGTGCGTCTTTTCCTCATCTTGTTGTTCGTTAAGAAAAAAAAAAAAAAAAAAAAAAAAAAAAACTTTACTCGCTGCTGAGCATTGTACGAGCAAAATGACACATATTTTTCACTTACAAGTCACCGTACCATTTTGTTTCATCTCTTTTTTTTTTTTTTTTTTTTTTTTTTTCACTTATAAGTCACAGTACCATTTTCTTTCATCTCAATGATCTCATCTGCGAGGAAAATGAGTTGGGACAGGAGTTGGGAATCTCATGTAAACTGATGCCTCAGTACTTTGGACCCTGGGAAATTCTTCATATAGTGGGAGATCAACCAGATGGTCCTTCATATGTCATTTGCATCCCTGCATCCCTGGTCACCTCCGCACACACCCTGTTTTCCATGCCTCCAAGTTAGCACCTTTCGCTGAAACAGAACAGTTTCCCTCAAGAAGATCAATGCTGCCCCCAACCATGGACAGACACGTCGACATTGACGACATTGTTGAGCATAAGCTGATGCCTGTACCCAAGCCTCCAGGAGGGGACGCCCTAGGAAACCGCAGATGCGGACATCATACGGATCCTAAAGAAGATTGATGGTTCACCAGAGAGGAATTGATAGTGACTGCTCCCCAAGTAATCACAAGTTATGAAAGAAATTTGAAAGGGAAGCAGCCTGCTGTGTAACGACTTCTTAGAGGACTATCGAAGTAAGGGAGGAGAGAGTGCGAGGGTTTATGCCTCGGTATAGGGCCTGTCTCTTATACACATCTAGATGTGTATAAGAGACAGGTTGAA